TTGTTTATTACAGCTCACTTTAGATTACACCCAAGGCTTCGTTATCCCTAATCCCGCCTTTAAACCCGCAGTTATAGATCCCTCTTATACTTTGGGAGTGGTGTTGTTCAACAATTACCTAAATATGCACTCTCTCCCGAGTTATGCACACTAAATAGGCACAGCTAATTGAGGATCTTCTCAATTAACTACAATAAACACGTAGTTGAACAAATAGAAATTAACCGGCAAACTATATGAACATAATCAAGAAGTTCATCCTTTAATAGGTTCCATCAAAACCTTAGACTAAAGTATTTAGCTACTCATAACAACATAAAGATAAACTACGAAAATATTCATCATGGAAAATTGCAAGAAAAAGAAGAGATAAAGAACTATGATGTTTTGGGTGATCTCTCACACTTGTGTTTCTTGCCAAAGTACTCTCCAAAACAAATCTGCCCTAATATGTCCGAATTCCTACTTTTTATAAGGGTTTTACACCAAGTTTTCCCGACTTGACACTTTAGTCCCTGGCTTTTCCGCGTTCTGCCGCGGTCCTGGCGCGGTCCCACCGCGGTTACGCCAGGACCGCGGCCAAAGAGGTCCTCTGAATCTGCAGCTCTGCTCTGCCGCGGTCCTACCGCGGTTACGGTCTCACCGCGGCAGGCCAAGTTCAGCTCTGCTTTTGTCTCTTTACTTGGTGCATTTCGTGGGCATTGTTTGATTGGCCTTCTTTTCTCCGTAATTGATCCCAAACTTGCTCCATCGAGTTTTTTCTTTGGATATAGCCTGCAAAGCATGAAAATCACTAATTAGAGCATTTGATTATCACTTTTTACCACAAAGCTATACAAAAATGTGGTTCTTTAGGGTCCAATTATAGTCTAATTCACCTATTATCACCTATGTAGGGAGAGCTGTGCTTATAAAGAGTGTTTTAACTGCAATTCAAAATTTCTGGGCTCAGATCTTTATTTTGCCAAAGAAGATTATTCAGTTCATTGATACAATATGTAGAAGGTTCCTATGGTCAGGGAATGTAGAGCCTACTAGGAAGGCACTGATTGCTTGGGAAAAACTATGCTGCCCAAGAGTAGCATGTGGCTTGAATTTTACTAATGTGAAACTATGGAACAAAGCTGCTATTTGCAAGTTACTATGGAACATATGCAAGCAGAAGAAGAAGTTATGGATATAATGGGTTAATGCTTACTATATAAAAGGGAATACAGTATGGAGTACAACACCTAAGAATGCATCTTGGGTCATTCAATAGATTTTCAAGGCCAAGAATTACTTTGAAAATGCTGGTTACACTAAAGAAGAGGTGCAGAGGATGGACAATTTCTCAATCAAACAAATGTATAAAACCATGCAGGGGGAGTTTTAGAAGGTAACTTGGAGGAAATTAATATGCAACAATTATGGACTTCCAAAATGGATATTCATATTGAGAATTGCAATTCTGGAAAGGCTGGCAACAAAGGAAAGATAAGCAAGATGGGGAATAAAAATAGAGACCACATGTGCACTATGTCAACAAGAGACTGAAATAGTTCAGCACTTGTTTTTTGATTGTGCAATGACAGGAACAATATGGCAGCAACTGCTACATTGGCAAGGAATACAGAGGAAGAAACTGAAATGGCAAGAAGAACTGGAATGGATAGAAAGAGTAGCAAAAGGAAGAAGTGGAGGAGCAGCTTTATGTAGAATGACTTTAGCTACTGCAGTTTATTATATATGGCAAGAAAGAAACAGTGTCATCTTTAAACAGAAAAGAAGAACAACGGCAAGCATAGTTAGAATGATCATTCAGGAAATTCACATTAGAGCCACCGTGTTTCCTAGGTCAGAAAGGACTATGACCAATGTAAACTGGTACCCGGATCCTATGGAACATTGATAGAGGACTGGAAAGTAGGAAAGTAGAAATGTAGAAGGACCCAAACTAGGGCTGCATGTCCAGTGGGGTTAGTTTTTTGTTCTGTTGTTTGCATGTACATATTTTACTTGGTAGATAAAGTCAATTAATTACCAAAAAAAAAATCAAACGGATACCGCCTAACAACACATGGATCAAAATCGAAATAAAATAGTAACTCAAGGAGCAACATTGCTATTTTCTTTAAATATAACTAAAGGTTCTGAATAATCTCAATGTGTATAACTTGAAAGTACATCTTATGGATTGTTTGGTTCACTTACTAGTTATACGAAGATTATAATGCACATAATTATGCAGTGATTAAAAATGAAAGAGTTATTATATATTGGCAGGTATTGACATGATATCTTATGTGCAAGGGCATATGCGGGTGACGAGGTGTCACGTGACATCGATTTGTCGTAATTTTTTGTTAAGTATATATATATATATATATATATATATATATATATATATATATATATATATATATATATATATATATATATATATATAAGTAATCTGTAAAATCCCGCATAACGTACAAATATAAACAAGTGTGACTCCACTTGCCAGTAATCTGTAAAATCCCGCATAACGTACAAATATAAACAAGTGTGACTCCACTTGCCATCAAACTCTTTGCAGTTGGTGTAGCGCCTGATTTTCTTAGGCAAGGTTGTGGGACAGAACAGTGAAAATAGCACGGGCTAGCCAGTTTTCAGATCGTAATTGAAAAATAGTCACTATCTTGCTGCAACACGGAAAGTTCCAGCATAATATACTGGGGATTGGTGCACCTGTGTATGAATTTCCAGCATATTATGTTGGACTAGTATATTATGCTGAAACTCCAATATATTATGCTGGAAGTTCACATGTAAAAAATTCGAACTCCAGTATATTATGCTAGAATATTTTTCGGATTTTGAACAGTGTTTTCGTTTAGATTTATCTTTACATGAAAGGTGGTAAACTTGCGATTACTTTTGAAACTATAACTATTTTTCAATTACCACTTGTAAATCTAGCTATTTTTGAATTTCACCCGATAGAACATGCTTTATGGGGTTTCATATCTTCAATTTTGTTTCGAGGATTTGGGCTGGACTGGAAAAAAAGGGGGGGGGGGGGGGGGGGGATATTATCATTTTTAACTCGCGCCAGAAACTATTTTCATCTGGTAGCCGAACAAGTGTATAAAATTTGTATAATTTTTGTATATAACATACATACATACATACATACATACATACATATATATATATATATATATATATATATATATATATATATATATATATATATATATATATATATATATATAACACAAAAAAAAAATATAAATTTTATATAATTTTCGACTATTATTTTTACAGCAACTATACACTATTATTTTTCCAAAAAAAAAAAAAGACAAGGATTTGATCCAATTCTCGGAGAAGAATCTCTTGCGATGGAGAGTGTTTCTTGTTCTGGCTTTCGTTGTTTTTTTTTTTTTTTTTTTTTTTTTTTTTTTTTTTTTTTTTTTTTTTTTNTTTTTTTTTTTTTTTTTTTTGTCATGTTAGTTATTTTGTTACTTTTTTATTATTTCGTTGTGTTAATTTTTTTTAGAATTTTTAAAAATAGTTTTACTTTATGAGTGTACTCTATAAAATTATTCGGAGGTTCTCAAATAGATATTTTAATTTATAATTGGACTTAAATTTCAATAGATTATCCTAAAGCATGTTCCAAACATTCAAAATCAAGTTCAAAAATCTCAAAAGTTTATGTAACTTGGAAGAAAGGGTCAATTGTCGGAGCAACATCGACAAATTAAAGGAGTTAATTTAAATTTCTTAAATTGACCCTGGAAAAAGATTGACAACTCAAAAATATTATCCAAATAATCATAATGCAATAAGAAGAGCGTACCTTTGAAAAGTCTTTGCCGACGTCAAAATTAAAAGAAAATTTATGATAAATTTGTCGCTTTGATCTGGAAAAGTTTGTTAAATATAATAGGTTGGGAGTATAGTACAGTCAAACCTCTCTATAACAGCCTCGTTTGTTCCGATATTTTTTGGCCGCTATAGTGAAGTGTTGTTACAAAAAATATATATTATAACATAATATGAAAATCGGTTCCAAAAAAAACATGACTTTTATAGTGAATGGCTGTTATAGAAAGATCTAACTGTACAACCAAATATGTGACTTTTTGCTGCTATTGTCGCTTGATTCAAGATGAATCTATTAATCAAGGGGGGAAAATGTATTTTTAAGTATAAGTTTTACACCCGGCAGATGCACCAAGGTTGAAGCAGTGTCGAAAAATTCATTTTTCACTTCTTTAAATATGATACTACTTACGAAAAATTCTGCGTACGCCACTGCTTATGCGGAACAGAATGTGATGTAAGAATATGTGTTTTGATGATACGGGAATTATATGATTTAAACACAAAATTGCCTTTGATTAAAATTCCTTCATTATTAATCATGGCATAACAATTCTTTCATTATTAATCACCACGTAATAATTTCTCCATTATTAATCACCACATTACTATCCATGCACTACTAATTATCATATAAATAATTTCTAAATCAATAACCCTACGTTACTAATTTTTGGATTATAATCCCGGCATAATTTATCTCGAACCAGATAACCTCAGAGTATATTATCTCAAGCACAATTTTATAGGTGAAATTCAAAAATAGCCAGATTTACAAGTGGTAATTGAAAAATAGCCACAATTTCAAAAGTAATCGAAATTTAGTCACTTTTCATGTAAAGATAAATTTAAAATCCGAAAAATATTTCAGCATAATATATAAGAGTTGGAATTTTTTACATGTGAATTTCTAGCATAATATACTGGAGTTCCAGCATAATATACTAGAGATCTAGCATAATATACGGGTTCAAAATAATATGCTAGAAGTTTATATAGATGTGCTCCAATATCTAGTATATTATGCTGGAACTTTAGTTGTTGCAGTAAAATAATGACTATTTTTGAATAACTTTGCAAATAGGGATGGAAAAGTGGCTACCCGTTGCTATTTTTGCCAATTTTATACTATGGATTATTCCACAACCAACGACCCCTAGAACGTGGGAGCAATTCCATTTCCTTCTTGGCTCGAACAAGATTGTAATATGCCCCCAAAGAGGAGAAAGAGGGAAAAGAAGCAAAAAGGAGAATTCAGAGAGGCAAAAGAAGGAAACAGAGTAGAGTAAAGTAAAATCACAAACAAGGCTACCATTGGAAAACCATAAACACGACCTCTTCCTCTTTGTTTGACGCATTGTTAACTCATAGGCTTTTAAAATGGAAGCAGCAGTTTCAGTTGTAGATAAGCTAAAATCCTTTGCCAAATCCACCCAACATTTCGCTTCCGGCGTTATCCGCGGCGGCGATACTTCTAATCGTCGAAGTCCGGTAATTAAAATGTGACTTCTTTTCATTCATTTTGTTTTCCCAGTCATTACATATAGAGTTATAGACAAACCCATTTGCTCTAGTATGCATTGTCAATATATAATTTTTGGTGTCTCATTAGGGTTGTTTAATTTTCTTTGGTTTTGTTTTCTCGTGTTAATTCGGAAATTTTTCATTTTTTTGTCGCTGTGCAAGCTGATTGACTTATAGAATAAAGATGGGAAATGTAAAAGAGTTTTATGTTATGCTGATTTTGTTATGTGGAATGAATTAATTGTATAGGCCTTAATGGATTTTTAGTAGTTGAATACTATGAGGTAACTTCTCTGTTGGGAAAGTTACTGGCATGTGACTATGAGGTCACGCGCTCGAACCGTGGAAACAACCTCTCGTAGAAATGCAGGATAAGGCTGCATACAATACACCCTTGTGGTGCGGCCCTTCTATCGACCCTGCACATAGCTGGAGGGCTGTCCTTTTAACTTCTCTGTTGGGTTCGATCTATGTTTTTTTTTAAATGATGCTAGAGTCGACTATTCTACGGAACCGGGTATCTACTACCTCCATCAGCATAGATGCTGGGTAACTCTATGCCCGCCATGGTTTAGGCAGATGGGAAAAAATAACCTGGTGGTTTTTGCATCAGCTAGGATTTGAACTTGAGACCTCGTTCTCCTCCCACTTTATTGACCAGTGGTGTTAAAACGGCTTTTCAACTGTTAAGCCACCTCCTTGGGGACAAGTTGGGTAAATGTTGTGGAAAAAAAGGAGATACTATTGGATCACATATAAATTATGAAAGTTCAAATTTTTATTTACGTGTGCTGGTCCGGACACCATTGTCATTACAAAAAAGTTATTTAGTGAGGGACCCAATTGTTGATTGAATTTCTTTAACATTTCTTCAAGGTTACAGCTAATCTCGTTCATGTGGATCTTATTTGAAGCAAATGAAAATCTATCGGGAAAATAATAAAAGTTATGAAAATATTATTTCTTATGTGAGTAGTGGTAGTCTTTAACTCTTTGTATATGGTGGTTTTTAAAGGTAGGGAGAAGGGTGAGTGTACATGTCCCTACTTTTGTACTATTGATCTAAAGTGGAGTTTATGTGTTACTCGTCATGCTTGGTTCCACTGCAGCGCAGTGATATAGAGGAAGCATTCAGAGCTTGAGCAGTCAAATTCTTACTTTACCAGTTACCACAAGATTTATTTTTTGTTGTTTATATAGTTAACACAAGCTTTATTATTTGGCTCGCCTTATTCTGATTGGTCTCTTTAAGTATGAGAAAGCTCTGACCAGTGACCATATACCCTAACCTCATCTAGTTTCTGCCTATTCTTCTATTTTGTCAAATCTTTTTTATAGTCATAACATCAAATTCTTCTATGTTTACTATCTGCTGCTGTATTACTACGCCTGTACGATGATCTTCCCAGGAGACAATACTGGCTAAAGACTTATCCAGATTTCTTTTATACATCGTTTGGTTCAGAACTATTTGTTACTCTCATTACCTTTAGGACATAACCATTTCCTAACTCGACTGCCCTCGACAAGCTTTAGTTGCATATATTTGCCAATTCCTAGGTAGAAACAAGCTGTAAAATGGCGCTTTACAACTCTTCCAATATTATCATTTACAGATTGAGATCTTGAAGAGATTGCAACGAGAGGCTTTTTCAGATATTATGAAGCTAAGAGACAGACAAGAGAAGGTGGAGCGAGTGCTTGCTTTCTATAAATCGTCAAAAGGAAGTCCATTCCAAGAAGCTAGCACTAATGTAAGGGGAGAATTTGATGCTGTGGGGGCACTGTTGATGATCGGTACCATTGATGAACGCAAGCACAATGCAGTTGAAAGAACAATTAGGACTGGTATTGATTCTAGGCTGACTTTTGAAACAACTGTTCGTGAAAAAGATACACTTGTTGCAGAGTTCGTTAGCAGCGAAAGAGGCCAAATAAATATCCAGGGAACTCCACTTTCTTTAGCAAAAGTTCTTTATGCAGCAAATATTAGTGATTGGTTCTCCGCAGTTGCCATCCCAGTTGGTGGTCAGTGCAGAGATGTTGCAGTACCTACAAGTTCACGTGAGGTAAATGCTTCTGAGTACTGAGCTTGCTTTCTGATTTCTAATAATAGTTATCAATTCCGCATTCTCAGGATATTTATATTCTTATTGTTATCGTCAAGTATCAGGGTTGGCATGAACAAGTGCATAGCTATCATATAAAATAGGCAGAATAGCTTAGGAGACACTTGTACTTGTTCCGGTTTGTCATCCCGGTCCCTACACTCCATAAAGTTTCATCCAGACACTTCAACTTAATCAAAACAAGACTTTTAAACACCTCCGAAATCGTGTGATGCTCACTTGCTTGACGTGGATGACAAATCAGCATCCACATCAGATTTTATACCAAAATAATATTATTTAACAAAATTTTAATTTCATAAGCAAAAAATAAAATAAAATAAGCAAAAAATTAATATTAAAATTAAAGAAAACCCCTCCTCCCTTCTTCAAACCCACCCACCAAACCTTCTTAAAATAATAACCCACGCCATGGTTCCTTCACCATGAGTACCACTACTTCCTTCACTTCTCTTTTAAAGAAAGTTATCTAGCCATGAAAAATATGGTGATTTCAACATAAACGGCGATATCATGTACATATTATGAGTTCTTTTAGTGAGTAATTCCTTTGTAAATAGTTTTAAAATTAAATAAACCAGGACCATCAGTGCTTTAAGGTCCTGTAACAGCCCGAGTTAATCACCAATTTACCCTTATTTGTTAGCATAAAATTGTACTAAATCCTTATGACTCGGCTTCTGAAAATTAGAATGCTATTAAGTTGGTGCTTATAAGAACAGTAGCAACAACAAGAGGGATTGAATGAACTGAGCAGAATTATATTGCTGGAGCTATAGACTCAAGCTTTTTATATTTTTAACATTGGCTGAGTAGTGATATGTTGTCGTCTCGGTGAACATTTGAGGATGAAGTTGTGACCAGTACGGAAAGAGGGGGGGGGTAGGGGGGGGGGGGGGCAGAACGGAGGGCTGAAGAAGAAGAGGGGGAGGGGGCGCGGAACGAAGGGCTGAAGGGGGGGGGGGGTGCAGGAGGGGAGGGGCAGAACAAAAGGGAATCGCTGCTAGTATTTTATTTATTTATATATTAATTTTATTTTTTTAATAAAGAAAAATCATAAGCTCACGCACCTAATGTGCGTGTAAATCACTCATTTTGTCCACCTCAGCCATATCAATGCCACATAAGCTCGGTCAACGGTCAGAAGGGTTTAAAAGTCTTGTTTTGATTAAGTTGGAGTGTCTGGGTGAAACTTTATAGAGTGTAGGAACCGGAATGACAAACCGGAACAAGTACAAGTGTCTCCCAGGCTATTATGCCTATAAAAAATGCTAAACTGCTAATGTTATGCACACAGCACTGGAAATGTAAAATCGAATTTGAATCTCTTTTAGCTTTAGGAAATGACAGGAATAAAAGTGGATATGGCAAACTTACAGTACTACAAATGGAAACAGAATTTAACAAATAAATGAAAGGCATGCATTAGCTTTAACAAGCAGTAATTAAGTCTACAATCCGCCAAAATCCCGGTAGCAACAGGTGAAGAAAAAAGAAAAGGAAAAGGAAAAAAGAACAAGGAGTTGCAGAAGTAAGAGGTCAAAAGTCCTGTAAAATGAAGTTGCAGATGCACTTTACCAAAAAAATTGAATAGAGAAAAGTCAAGTTGCAGATTTGTGGTGCAAAGATATCTCACATATTAGGAATTATGAGAAATCAATTAGCTAACAAGGAAGATCACATGGGAGGTCATTAGATGGTTGTTGCATATTGTATTCACTACTTGTATTGCTTCATTTTCACTGCCTTTCTGTATAGCCTCATGTAAAAGCAAGGACAAAATGACTAGTATAACAATTTTCTTTTTGCAATTTCTTGCAGCAAAGGGGCCTGACAGATTATTCATCATTTGGGCCGCCCCTGCTGAATCAACTAAATGGTAGTGCAATCGCTGTAATGGTAAAAAAGTTAAATACAGTTGCTTCCTTGGCTCAGTTTGTCTCTGCATTGCCACACTCCGGTAGACGTTTGTATTGTTTCGGCACTTTTGGTCAAGTTGTTTGCCAACTTCCAAGCAGTACAAAGCTATCCATCTTGGGCATACACAAAGCGGCTATTCTGTCAAGTCAACAGCATCGACTCGCAGCTATGTCGTTGCCTATTGGCATTTTACAACGGTCAGGGCATTCTGAGGCGCCCTTGGAGGAAAACGGCCTCTTAGATGGATCAATCGCTATAACACTAGAGTCACAACGTGTCGAAAGTACAAGAATTGGTGGTTGGGTAGAGATGAAAAGATCAAATCCCAAATATTTGCAGTGGGCAGTTAATGTGTCCGATACACCTGAGGATGATTTCGGATGGGGTTTTAGCCTTGGTGGTTTGATGCAAGGTCCAAGAAGTTGGGAACATTTTCAGGTTGAAAGCTTTATCAATTTTAACTTAGGAAAGAAATGCAAGTTGCAACCAGGTCTGCTCTATGTAAGAGATGGAGCTACTCAGTTTCCTGCACTGATGTTTCGTACTAGTTGGTCCTTGTGAACATTCTCACCCTCTCCCTAAAACAGAAATAGTCATTAGAAATTCCCACACAAAGAGAACAAAATAGGAAGGATTTTGTCTGCCAAGGAGGAAATTAGCTCCTATGACCAGTTACAATTTGAATAGAAGAAAATGATCCTTCATAGATTTTATGTGTTCTATTTACTGATCTTGTGTTATTTTTGGCTGATTTCATATTCTCACGTGAAAAGAGACATATAACTAAAATACCACTTGTAATGTGTCATAAAACCAATCTCCTCTTTGCGCAGCAATGGTACTTCTTTTAGTAATTAATTTTATTAATGTTTAAGATAAATTTCATAAGTTCTTTTCTTTCTTTCTATCTTATTCAGTGAAATAATGTAAATTTATATCTATATCTATTCTATCTATATCTATCTATACTATATTAAAAGCACGAAGGCCTTATCGAAATGTCGTTCGTCTTTTCGACCCTTCGTAAGTGTATTATATCGAAGCTACACAATAGATAGATATATATAGATAGAATATATATAGATATAGATTTACATTAACAAGCGGTTGTTATGGGTTTTCTAAATACAACACTAGTTTTAGGATACGCGCGTTACGCCTGAACCTTATCTCAGTGAATATAAAATTATAAATTACATAAATATTATATTAAATTTTGTGTTCGAGTTATAACATTAAATCTAAGAAAATATTAAATTATTATCGCAAAAGGTATTATTCAATCGCTATATTTTTTCGTTTTGGAGTAAGCTTTCTTTTTCTATCTAGGCACATAACCATATATATATATATATATATATATATATATATATATATAAATAGGAGGTTAAGATTGTAATGAAGTTACTTATTATCAGAGGCGGAGCCAGGATTTAAAACTTATGTGTTCATTATTCTAATTCTTTTAAGTTACTGGGTTCTAAATTAATAATTTGTACACAATTCAATAATTTTTTAAGACAAATACAAGGTTTAGAATAGTGGGTTCAGCCGAACCCGTATGCGAAGAGCTAGCCCCGCCCCTGCTTATTATTAATGGATTCTGAAAGGACTATGCTACTTAGCAAAAAATATAGAGCGTATGTTAAAAAAACAATTCCTAAGCAATTTGTAGTCTTAGCTACCCTCTTAAGTTTGCTATTTGATAATTGATACACTCTGGACGTCGAAGTGTTAAAGAGCGTGGATATATACTCTCTCCTTTAGACGCGTGAAAGTGAAGAATAATTGAAAAACCAACTTCCAAAAATAATATTTTTCAATCGTTAATTGTTATATAATCATATACAAATGTTATTTGTCAGAATATAATTATATATTTTTCCTTGCTTCATCTTAATATACAACACATACTTTTTTCTCAAGTATTTCTCAAATTAAGGTTTCAAAAACAGTGTTATCTTTTTCTTTAAAAAATGCAATATCCCTTTTGTGTTTTTGGTTATTAACTAATATAATTATGAATTTTGAAATATTTTTAGCACTAATATCAGTAACATCTAAAATTTTAAAAGTCGTATATATTTACAAAGCAAAAACACAAAGTTTGAGAACCTAAAGTATTATTGAATATAGAAGGAGCGCGGACTGATATTATCAATTTTAGTAACAAATAGTTCTTATTTATTCTTTGTGGACTTTATCGTTTTTTGTTTGCTTGTTTATCATTATATTCAAACTCATTTCTCTTGTTTGAATTGACATAGTAATTTTATTTGAATTTATCATTACAAGTAGAAGAAAATATACCTTGATACTTTGATTACTCCTTAGTTCAAAACAAAAATTTCATAAACGGTGTAACTTTATTCATTCATATACATTATTTAGTTGTTATTAGGTCTTGATAAATAGGAATTTGAAATTAAATTTTTGATTTTCTTCTTTGAACATTAATTAAACTAAGGAGTTATAGTTATTTTATGCAATTCAAGCAAGAAAAATAGTTAAAATGATTAAAATATTATTCAATTCTGAATTCTAAATATTAAGAGTTCCTATTATAACAAAACTTTCACTTAATTTTTGAATTTTAAATAAAATGATTAATGACAATGATATTTAATATATAAGATGACGTACGTGTTATGTATCATTATTAATTAAAGTGTTTATATTAAGTATAAAAAATGTATAACTCACCTTAAACACTTTGTCTACATATGAAAAATTAGAATTTTTGCTACTCACATGGTCCAAAAAACAAATGGACAAAGAATTAGAATTTGAAAACATGCACGAAGACAAAAACTTTGCAATTTATTAGTACAATTCTTAACGTATAAAAACTTGGAAGGGTTATATGTAAGGGAAATAGTTACACTAAATACAGACAAGTTATCTAAGTAAAATCTAACTCAATATCAGATTCCTAAATATAAAGAATTTTTACATTGTTCAAATAAGGAAAAAGTTAATTAATTTAAAGTTCTAAATATTAGAAAAATAATTAAATTATAATTGTTATAAAACAATAAAAGTAAAAGAAGAGTATTGCAGAGAAAAGTAGGGAGAGATAATTCTTATTGATTTTTGGGATGAATTACAATGGAATAGACCCCTCAATTTATAGGGAGAGGGTGACTTAGCCACCAAGCAATGAACCCTAGAATCTCTCTAAATATAGACATTCACCATAAATACAATTCTATTTATAACACTCCCCCTTGAATGTCCATTCAACAGATAATGTGCCTTGTTAAAACCTTAACTAAAATAAAGCCCAGTGGAAAAAAAATTCTAGAAAAGGAAAAAGAGTACGCATATCTAACAATATGCCTTTTGGTTGCCTCGTTAAAAACCTTACAAGGAAAACCCAGTGGGACAGAACCTTGTAAGGGAAAAAGAGTACAACGCGTATTAACTCCCCCTGATGATAGCATCAATTCACATCTTTAAGCATTTGCATTCCAATCTTGTGCACCATTTTCAAAAGATCTTTGGTAGAGATTTGATAAATAAATCAGTCATATTAACTTGAACGAATTTGTTTCACCTTGAAATCATCATCCCTAATAGATGTATTGTCTTCATATGATCTTGTTGGAATCGTCAGTTCAATATCTTCACATAGGGGTGAAAACTCTTGCTATCATATTATCATGCTTATAGTTCTAGCAAGATACATATGTGCACAAATTGCATTTAGAATATAGTACTTCATGACCATGAATTCTATATGCTTTAAGCAATTTAAATCCTTCAAGAATTTTTAAGTCATATAAGCCATATAATAGACTTTAGATGCATATCAAGTTTTCATGTCATGCTAGACATATAAGATATCGAAAACTGATTGCACATACCATTGACTTTATACTTTTAGGTGTTTGAACTACATGTTCAAAACTACATGTCTTTCATATGAAACCAATTCTATTCGAATTGTTTCTTCAGACTTAAGATCCTCATATATATATTTAGCGCTATCATATATGTCGTCGACAAACATTTTATATCAGTTTCAATATTTTTTCATAAAGACATAACATAGAGATCTCTTCATTCATATTTTCAGGTATCTGAATCTCTCCTGAAATTTTATGAAGTGTTATGTCATGTGATCTTCTAGATCACTTGCCTCCTTTGTTATGATCATTTAGATCATTTGCTCATCTTCTATATCAAGAAGTTTATTTGAAACCGATTTGTCTATACGCTTTAAGTGTACCATTAGACTTTGTCCTTCTAGGACTTAATAGGAGCATTTGCAATGAGAATATAGTTACTTTCTTTGGGCCAGCAAATGCGTCCGGCATGCTTTGCAATATATTATGAACTTCAAGTTCATATTATCTTATTCGAGGATCTAGATGTACAAATGATAATTCATTCCACGTAACTTTTTCTCAACTGTTTATCATGTCTCCCCCTCATGTTAGAAAAACTAACTTGTTACCTCAACTTTGAGAATCCACCTTTGTGCGTTATGGTGTTAATCAAAATATACACCGCACATCAATAATAATAAGATAGAATTATTTGGTTCCTGACCCTGAACCACTTGTGAGAATGTAATATACTTTCGTATATAACGTATATCAAACTGATATATATAACTTTGTTCTCATAAGCAATAGTTTAGCTATTAAGCTGAGGCACTCAATAAATTATTTTGCTAAATCAACTGTGATGTAAACCAACTTATCAAGATAAACTATCTTGAATAGAAAATTTGGAAATTATGCTCTAGATTAAATTATTGAGTAAGTTACCTCGCAAACACTAGGTTGCAGGTTAATAATAATCGCACATGTAACCATCTCATAGATACATCTTATGTGGTATACATGGCAGGTGAATGAGCCCATATTCACCTTTGATATTTCCAGCATTCATGGGATTCAATCCCAATTTTAGTTGATCTATTAATTAATGAGAACAAGAAATATAAGAGAATTCGTAAAGAACTTTCTAGTTCTTTTAATATTTACCCATGTGAATTCTCTATTATTTTTGCACATCATACTAAGTATGGCTAAACCAATTATGCCAACTGAATAAATTATCAATATTGATAAACTTCAGATTTATACCATGACGTGTGCAATTATCAATAAACTCCAAGTTTATTATGACATGGGTTTTTATATCAATAAATATCCACTTTATTGTGGTATTCTTTTATTTGTGTAGTACAAATTGGAGAATAAAGCGGGTAGCTTTTCACATACATATTACTCCGCTACAATTGTTGTAACAGAAGATATTAAATCTTTCCTTTATTTATAGTCTCAATATAATCAACCGCTTTCGCGTATACTTTGGAAACTGAATAAGTTTTTTTTAGACTTACTACAACAAAATACCTTATTGGTAATCAATTATGTTTCTCCAAAATAGTATAATTGGCTCTTGCAGAGTTCTCAATTAATTTTGTAGTACCACATATTCATCAACATCCATATGGTGAATATCTCTTTTAAAGAGAAAGTCATACCATTATGGTTATGGTCAAAGTTATATGCAAGATCTATTTCTTGCATTACCGTTGTCTTTTAATAATCACAATGCCAAAATATTTTGGTGTACAATAAGTACGTGACCAATGACCATTTATGCCATAATAATGATATTATTTTCTTATATCATCTCAAACCTCCTTCTAGAGGTGAGTGTGGTATATTCATTACCACTAGCACGTTCATATTCTTCCAAGAATGAAT